AACGACCCCGGGAGGGAGAATAAAACCCCCTGGGGGAGGGAGGGCAAAAAGCCCCCGGGAGGGAATCTGGGGAGGGGCTCAGTTCAGTCCCTGCAAAGCCCCAAAAGTGGAGGAGTGGCAGAGGGATTTTGGGGGTCAAAAAAGGGTCTCGAAACTGAGAAGGGGATCGCGGGGAGGTCCCAAATTGGGAGGGAGTCGGGGCGACCCCAAAACCGGGAGTGGCGTTGGAGGGGGCAAAAGAGGTCTCACGTAAGTGGGACCCCAAATTCTGCGGGTGCAGCTGTGGCAGAGTCCCCCCACCATACCCCAAACTCTTCCTCTCAAGACCCCTCAAAAGCCCCAGATCCCACTCCGAGCCATCTCCCCTTTATTCCAGGGACTAGTACAAAACAGGGAAGAGCGTGTTGGGATTTGAGGGGGCTGCACCCCCAGACCCCCAGCGAGATTTCGTGCGCCTTGGCACGCGAAACTGCGACCCTGCGACCCCTGTGGCACCATCGGTTGCTGCTGCTTCTGCGTCATCTTCAGCACGGCTGGGGGGAAGCGGCTCGGGGGACTAGGGAGAGGTCGAGGGAACCATGAGGTGAGGCTGGGGCGGGGATTTGGGGGAGTCATAGCGGGCCGGGGACCTCAGTGCTGGAGTGGGACACGGAGGGAGGGGTGGGTGTCACGAGGGACTGCGAGGGGTCCGTGGGAGGTGCCTTGGGGGGGGTTGTGGGTGCTGGGGGAGGGGCTGAATGTGTTGGCGGGTCATTACGGGGGAACTGAGGGAGGGCTGGGGGTATCCAGGGGTGCTGAGACCGTGCCCCCTCCCCCCCCAGGACACCTCGTGTACGAATTCTTCGTGGGGGGGAAGCGGGATCCCCACTGGAGCTCCCCGAGAGGCTGCACTGGGAGCGGGTCAAGCTCTGTGCTCCGGTACACTGCGCCTTGTTGCACAGCTTGTCCGGGGCCACTTTCACCAGCCCTTTATTAGCCCAGACCCTTACTTCACTCAGGATCTCTCCTAATGATATTTCACCGCTCGTTAGTCCCGTCCTTATTAGTCCTGGCCCTTAACGAGCAGTTCTGGGCCTGCTTCCTAGGTCTTCCTTAGTCTGGATCATTGATGAGCGGGTCCTCTCCTAAATCCACTTCCTCGGGGTCTCATTAATCCCCTCCCTTAATGAATCCTGTTCCTGAAAGAGTGTCATTTCTTGGACTGGTTTCTTGGATGTTGGTTAGTCCCACCCCTTAATGAGCCAGGTCTCTTACGCCAGGATCTCCTCAGTCCTATCGCTTAATTAATGGCACTGTTTCGTTGCAAGTTCACAAGCATCTTTCCTGGTCGTGGTTCTCTGGACATTTATCAGTCCTGTCCCTTAAGCAGCAGGTTCTCTCCCAGGGCTGTTTCCTTGAGATCTTCCCATTTCAGTTCAGCTCTTCGATCAGCCGCTGACTCTGCACCACCTTGTCAGTACCAACACCCGAGGGCGGCAGGGGACCCCCGAAAACCTCTTTAACCCCATCCCTGATCACCCAGGGTGCTTGATCCACCCTCCCCTCCCCGGGGGGCGGCCGGGGGCCTCCCCAGACCTTCTCCAGCCCCTTCCTGATTTGGGCCACCGCCGCCTCCTCCGCCGCTACCTCGGCGTGAACTCCCCGCGCCTCCCGGGCTAGGTGGGCGAGCTCCTCGGTGGCCCCCCGGCTCCAGCTCAGCAGGAACCCGACCTTCCTCCGGGCCCCTCGGAAGCGGCCACGTTCGGGGGGCGGTAGCGCCCGCGCCCCCGCCCTCAGCAGCCGCCACAGGTGCCACAAAGCCGCTGCCACGTCGGCGCCGGGGTCACAACTATCGCGACCCTCCAGCAGCTGCGCAACGGCCAGGAGCGCCCCACTGTCGCCAAGGGGGCTCAGGGGCAGGCCCGCGGCTCGGGCGTCGCGCCGGGCGCTCAGAAGCGCCTCGGCCGTGCTGGTGAAGACGCAGCGGTCGCGGAGCGCCGCCGAGGCGGCGATAGCGGCGTCGGGGAGCTCGGGGAGCAGCGTCTCGTCCCCGCCGTGCAGGCTCAGCGCGAAGGCGTAACCGAACAGCGCGTTCGGTAGCTGGAAGCGCACCAAGGGGGACGGGGGCGCGGCGCGGAGGGCGCTCAGCGGGGACACCGAGGTCGGGACGGGCGGCGCGGGGCCGGGCTGACCTTCATCGCCCTCCTCATCCTCCTCCGTCCCCGAACCGGCCGCGAGCTCCTCCACTCGCCGCCGCCCGCGCCACCACCACGGCCGCCACCGCGGTAGCAGCGCCGCGGCCTCCCCGGAACTCAGCAATCGCCGGAACCCATCACGTTCCGCCTCGCTGAGCTGTTCCCACAGCCCGCGGCCTGTAGGCCACGAAGGATCCAGGGGCTCGCGTAACTCACGCAGCCCGAGCAGCGCGGGGCCCGGGGCAGAATTACGCTCAGCGCGCAACGCCTCAAGAACCTGATCGCGGTAAAAAGCCTCGGCGCAGGGGCCGTGGGCGCGGTAGCAGCGCAGGGAGCAGAGGCGGCAGTGGCAGCGCGGGCACGTGTAGGGGGGCGCAGAGACGCTGCAGAGCCCACACAGAGACTCCGCAATCACCGCCGCCATCTCGGGCGTCTGACCGCGCACTTCCGACGCCAGCAGCCCTCGGTACGCCGCGCCCCTCGGAGGCGATTGGTTAATCACTCGTCGCAGTCCGGGTCTCTCCGCCCCTTGGTTGCTTTCCGCCAGTCTCCGTCGCTGGGTGTTTCCATGCTCGCTCGGCCCGCCGCCCTCCTTAAGTGACTCCGCTCTCTCCGCCGTTCGGGTATTTCCGGCGGCAGTCGGCTCTTTTCGCGGGCTACCTGCAGAACCGGGCGTGCGCTATCCCTTGTCTCTATAACCTAATTAACTAATTAACGTAGCTAATTAACGCTCCCCTTAATTAGAGCCCTATTACAGAGCCTCCCGGGATCTGAGGGATCAGGGCAGGTGTTGCTCTGGGTGCGTGCTGAGGGGGAAGGATGGGCAGGCGGGCGGGCGGACGGGATCCCCAACCGGCGGCGCTGCCTTCTCGGCACCATCGGGGGCGGCAGCGGCATTTGATCAGAGAGCCGTGTTTGTTGCTGCCACGGTCATTATCAGCTTGTGTGCATCTGCTTGCTGGCTCTATTTTTTCACCACTAAAAGTTCCCCGACTGGGCGGGATCGTTCCCGGAGGCAATGCGACACCGGGACGGCGCGCTGAGCAGAGGGAGCGAGCTCCAGAGTGATGCAGAGCGTCAGAAACGTGGCTGACGTCGCGATAGGCTCAGGAGAGATCAACACTTCGATGGTATTACATCTGTTTTTCAGCAGTTCATGTCCTCGTGCAAAATACTGTTTGTGTCCCTTTTTTAGCAGGCAGAAGCCCAGTGTCAGGGACAGGGACCCTGGACAGGAATAATGACCCTTTTCCCTGTCAAACAAAAGTCACCGTCGCAATTTCCTGTGATCAGTCAGGAGGAGGTGCTTGGCACTTCAAGAGCAGCCAGGGTTGAAGGTGGATGCAGCTTGGGTCCGGGAGCTATCCTGTTGGATTTGGAATTTAGGTGGCACACGGTTGGTTCTTGGCATCGGCCTGTGGACACAAACTGTGGGCTTTTGTGATTGCCCCTGCCTCGATCCATCACTTGGCCGTTGATCAGATCGGCGATCGATTGATCGCGCCTGCCGATCGATCAGATCGGCGCTCGATTGCTAATGCCTGCCGATCGATTAGATCGGCG